TAAAATCTGTTAAACACAAAGCTATGAAGATACTGGGTCTATTACGTAGAAATTTTTCAGGAAGCAGCCAGTATGTCAAGACCCAAGCATACAACTCTCTCGTGAGACCCCATGTAGAATATGCGTCAGCTGCTTAGAGCCCTTTTGAAAAACAACACATAAAAGCGTTAGAGGCTGTCCAACGTTGCGCTATAAGATTTGTCTGTTCAGATTATTCACAGTTTTCCAGCGTAACTTCTATGCAGCATTCGCTGGGATGGGACACTCTTGAAGTCCGTCGACATCTAAACGCTGCTACCATAATGTATAAAGCTGTGCACAACTGGACTCACTTAACATTTCCAGCATCTGTCACCTTAGCTCATAGAAGCAATCGCTCTAACCATCCTCATAAGTTCAGACATATCTTTGCTCGCACCAATGCATATGTTTTCCTTTTTCCCACTTGTTATTCCCTTTTGGGATGGCCTTCCCAATTCTGCTGTTAATGCTGAGTCTGTTACTGACTTCCAAGCGAATGCTTTGCCATCCATAAGACAATATTGCAACGCAATGTAAATATTTATTTGTTGAAAATAATTTAATTTAGTTTTTTTTTTGCCTCCTTTTCTGTTTCGCCGCTGACTGTTTTAGCATCCTGTATAGTCACATGACTTCTAGGATTAATAAAAATGTATGTGTGTATGTAGGTATGTATGAAGGCCTCACAACAGAAATCCTTGAGTGGCTTAGACAACACAGCGGCCGATGGGTCAGCGGCGTTCTGGCGCCTCATTTCAATCGTGACACGGTCGAGTTCGCATCTCGTAAGGGAGATGAATCAAACCCACGGATCAAAACACTGATGCCTTTTCTGAGAAACATTACGGAAGAGAGCGATTTGGAGAATTTTCAAGATCTCATAGTGCCCTTAGATGCTTGCTATTGGCTTCACAAGACAATGTCAATAAGTTTATCGCGATTCGGAGACGATCGTGCGATCTAGCCGACTAATGGGCAGCGACTAAGCTCCTGCTTCTCATAACATTTTATGTACTGTTTGGTTTATATGTATATTTTTATCTCATAGGGAAAGAGATCTGTAGTTCATAGCTGGATTTGCTTAACTGAAAAAAGTAGTCCATTAAAAGTGTTTATATATTTGATAGACTTTATTACCGGCCGAGGAGGGGGAGCGCGAGCAAACAGCAAGGTGAGAAATCGTCTCTCATAACAACTTTATTTTCATCGACAAGTTTATATTATTTTGAAAACAGTGCCCGTTTGAAATCCTTATTGGTAAATAAAATCTTCTATCAGGCAAGGGGAAAACAGATCGAAAGAGCCGATCAGCTACAGCACAATCGGAATTTTCACCGAAGCTACAGCCGCAGAAATAAACCACAATCTTGTCTGTGCGTTCATTGAAGTGAGCGCAGTATATCGATTTTGTTATGAAGTAAAACCTAACCTCACCGTTCTAAAATCCTGTATGATGTTGTCTGGATCTTCGATAACGGTTTTGTGCTTTGGTAAAGATTTATAACAATTTATTCCCTCACATAAGTTTACATAAAGATTTGCATACACATAGCACACGCCGCATGCAAATTATTCTAAAGTCACACTTTCAGTTTCCGCACTGGGTTATGAAAATGTTTTGTTTCCAAAGGTTATTACAATATTCAAACTTATTTACCTTTTCTAGTTTAAAATAGAACAAAATCTTCCTGGATTTGGCGTTACTCTCTTCACGTCGGCTTCCGCTTCGGCATGTTTTCTCAGCCCGTTTCCTGGGAGTTGTGCCACTTGGCTGAGACGATGTCTTAATTCCAAGACACTTTCAACGGCTCATAACGGGAAAACTAACAGGGGTAGACCCGGGTAGACCCCGAAATTTGCAAAGAAGAAAGGTTGAAGTAACAAGAGGGCCAAAATAATTCGATAAAACCGCTCACAGTAACTAGCAATGAATCCAAGAAAAACGGCAAAAACAACACTCAAATCATCATAGCGGCCTGCACATGACCGAGCAATCCAAACTTGTCACAAACGCTCAAGAAAGCAGAATATTTAAAAGTAACGCAACTGCTCTCAAGATAAAGTGTTCCAACAACTTTCCACGGCGGTATAGTGTCGAAATTACCAACACAAGCTTGGAATAAAGCGAAAATTTCACCACATATACCTCTAAAAAAGGTTCTTTCCAAGCGCGAAAATCACTCTACAAATGACGCATTCTGATTGGTCGAATCTCGTGACGCACGCCGCCTGGCAGATGATATAAGTAGATCTCTTCGAGACGGTAAAAAGTATTTGGAAACAGAATATCAGAAGAATTGCAAAGATAATGAGAGCTCATGTCCAGATCATTGCCATAAGTTGGGTCTAAGTGACCCGAATGATCCAAATTTTCAAGAGAATTGTACACATGAACATACTCTTTGCTGCCCTCAATGTGATGACATCACTTCCTGTTTGCATAAATTGCAACAAACCGTCAGGAACAGTGAAAGCTTCGGATGCTATTGTACATTGGAAAGCCCATGTTATGAGAGCTGTAAACCAGGAACGTACGAAACAAGATATACTAGCATAGCTTGATCAGAATTCGTGTCTTCTAGTAATGGATTGCGCTATGAAGTTCTTGCAGCTTCGTTACAGAGAAAAAGAAACTGGTTGGCATGGCAAGAGAGGGCTCAGCTGACACATCACTAATGTCGTGACTTAAGACATGTCCAGCGCAACTGAGGTTATCTCTTACGCGCACCTCTTCGATCAGTGTACACAGGATTGGTTCTCACTAGCTTCAATTCTAGAAGACCTTCTGACAAAACTAGAAGCCAGGAATCCTCTCATCCAAAGAGCATATTTAAAGTCAGATGAGGCTGGTTGTTATCGTAACAGCCCCTTGATTGCTGCTGTAAGAGATATCGCAAAAGACTTGGTGTTACTGTACATAGTTATCATTACTCAGAGCCACAGTCTGCAAAGGATATTTGTGATCGTATCCTGTGTCCACGGAACTCCTCCATCCGTATGTACTGCAACGAAGGTCATGATGTTTTAACTGCTGCAGACATGAGAGGTGCATTAATACAACACACGGTAAAAGGAACATCTGCCGGGGTTTGTGTAGTCAACGAGTCGAGACTCTTTCGGTAAAAAAGATGGAGCAGTTCAGCAGCTTTCATAACTTTGAATATGAAGCGGATGGTCTTAGAGTGTGGAAAGTACATTCCATATGAAATGCTTTAGGTCACCAATCAGGTTCCAACCGCTCTCCAAACAGTGGAATCCCAAGAATTCTATGTACCACTTGGAAAACGAGAGGTAAAATCCAGTTCAGAAGCTAGCAAGAGTACTGACAGTAGTACACCACTGTTTGAATGTTGAAAGCTCGGTTGCAACGATACCTTTGAATCCTTTGCGCAGTTAGAGCCGCATCTTGATGTCGGAAAAAACACTGCCAGCAGGTTAAACCAGTATTATGTTATCAGAAGGGACTGAACACTGAAATTGTCATCGGTAGATAACCCTGCTGACACCGAAATGTATTTAGTGCCCTCCGGGGGACCGCCCAACGTTTTCAGAAGTTATTTCAAGCAAATCATCTCTGCAAATAGGTTGGGCCTTAAGCAAACCGAGAAGTAGCGTTAGATTTTCGCCAAGGTCAAAGAATACCTAAAAGCACGTTTCACAATAGGAGAAAGAATAGGGCGTAAGGCTGACCCCGGCCAGGTTGCAGCAGACATGCGGAATGCAAAAAATGAGTCTAATGAACGTCTGTTTACTAGATCTGCGTTGCTTTCAAAGAACCAAGTTCAGAGCTTTTTCTCGCGGATGGCAGCATCACGTCTTAAAGAGCAGGGTGTTGTCGGCTTGTCAACGGAAAAGGAAGAAGACAAACAGTGCTTGCAGGAATATTTAGAAAGAGAGGATCTGATTAACACAGTAAATGAAGTAAAACAACGTCGCACATCCTATCTCTTTTGACAGGTATGACCTGTGTGAGCGTTATCATAGCAACACGCTCCAAGAATTCAATGTAGCCATGCTTAGAAGTATCTGCAACCATTCTGAGATTCCTGTGAAATCGAGGGACAAAAAGAAATTCCTCTTAGACAAACTGACAGTCATGATGAGTGAATGTGAGTGTGTGTCTCACTAAAGCAATGTAAAGCTTTTCCATAAATTCTTACCTCGTGGCTGTCGTGCTGTACTGTCGTAAGCAGGGTTACATGTTGATGACCATTGATAATGAGGCTACGTAAGCCAAATTACAGGAAACTTAGCAAAAGCAGTATTTTTACACATGGCGCCGTTATTTCCGGCCGCCGTTCAACCCTTCCCGTCCGTTCAAACAATGCTTATATGCCAAGTTGTCATACCCTATTTCCCTGCTCTTTACTTTTTTTGAAATGGGAAAAAGGGAAATAACGAACATTAATGTTATATAAATTATTATCTGAAGAAACAACACAACAGTTTTCAATTTACAAGACATATTTTGGAAACTTATCCCATCTTCAGTTGTAGAAGTTCGTTACAATCTAAATATCTTCAGTTATAGAAGTAGTTACAATACGCTATTCACAGTTGGGGGTTTTGTGCCCAAGCCTTTGAGTGAACGTGAGGCTGAGGTTGACATTAGGGTACTTGAGAACCACGACGGCGACTTCGTCGACGACGACCGGAAGTGAGTTACAGTGCCCTGCGCAAGCGCGACCAGTAGATTTCGTCGTCGTGGTGTCGTCGACGACGCCAAACAAAGTAGAATCACGTCGTCCTGCAATCCACAAGCTTCGGCAGGTATAAATCCACTGTTTTAAGCGATTTTTGAAGTCCTTATCATTTTCTTATCCTCGTAAACCCAGGTATCGTTCCTTTTTTCTCCTAACAAGCGATGTTGATTGAAAATTCGACTAATGATTATTGTTTTTACTTCGAAGAATGACAACAGCTGTGGAGGCCGAGCGAGCGAACTCGTAAGTGATAAAATTATTTGTACGTATTTAGGTACGGCAAATCATATATCTTTAATATAAATTTCATCACCCAGGGCTAAGAAACAATGTACGCCGTCTTGCTTTAAATTTACTTCTTGACAATTGCAATTGAGAAAATTAATGTTACAGCCACTGCTTTGGGATACTTAACGTACAAAAAAATTTTATGGAGCAGTTCAAATAAATAGTGCATGCTATACCTTCCGTATATTTAGGACAAAGCTACCACAAACGAAGATGTACATTTCGGAAGCTAATAAAATTGTATAGTACCATTGTGGGTATAAAGAAGACGCGTTTAAACCCCATTCATGAATTATTCGCCCATCACTGAACACCAGCTTTCCAACCTGTCAAAATAGAAGTTCTACGCTATGGGCAACGTATATTTTAACATTTCAATCATGAACTCAGTTCTCGTCACCTCTCTTGAGTTTATGGAGTCTTATTGTCTTAGCCTTATTCTTGTAGTCTTACTGCCTTAGGATGAATAAATCAAATCTCTTGTAAAAAAGGGACGAAGCCACGGAAATATAACTCGGAATCTAGTCTGAAAAATCAGCAATTGATAGCCTTATTGAAGGCAGTGTTAATAACAACCCAGGACAAAAGAACTCAGCGCTGTTACAGTCAATGACTATGATATAACAGTACAGTTTAGCAGTTTCTCAGAATATCCCTTGCTCGCGTGTTTGCCTGTTGAATTCGCAGATCATTTGCTTCAGCCTGCAAAACAATAGCAAGAAGCTCTTACTAAGTAACAATCAGAGCAAAGTCGATCATAAACTTGATCTTCGGAATAAAACCGTTTCGCCTAGTTAACTTTCAAAAGGCTCTGGACAACATGTTTTATTCATCTTTGGATCTAGACTCAGATAATATATACTTAAACTCTCTTGACTATGTTTCACGCAGCAGAAATATTGATATTGTTTTTCTTTTTCTTTTTTTTGTTTTTTCTTTTTCTATCCATTGACCCAATTTTCAACAAACTCAACGAATATGCACTGATCTCTGACGTCCAGCAAGTTGACTGGCCTGAACTATTTCATGGCATTGATAATGATAATAATAACATATTTTCCTGCTTCATAACTCAGTCCAGTGAAATAATTAATTCTCATGTTTGTACTCAAAGCCTCAGGCACTTTTTTACCTTTGCATTAATACGATCCAGCTGTCTGTTCTGTGTGTCAATCTCGTTCCCCATGTCCATTGCCATAGATTTTAAGTTACCAACAATGTTTGAAACCTGACTGTAAAAAACAAAAAAAGGAACAATAATAAAGATGGTAAAATAGTGGTTTCCAAAACGCCAAATTCACCCAAGCAATTTACTGATTATCTACCAAAGTTAGACTTGCTAATTCATTCTTTTTCAACCCTGTATCTCCTTCTGAAATTGACTCTGAAACAACGACTACCGTATTTATTCGAATAAGCGCCCAACCTCGAATTAACGCCCACCTCGAATATGTGCCCATCCTAAAGGCAGAAAAAGTTAATAAGCGCCCAGCCTCGAATAAGCCTTCATTCCTTTACACTTTATCATTGGACGATGGCGTTCAATGGTTGAAAAAGACTCGAAGCCGATGGCGATCCCGTACTTCTTGCTCAATGCCTCACCTCTCAACAAAGAGTCAACTTTCTTGAGCTGATGCTAAGTAAGACTGCGAATTATTGCCCTACATTTCCCAAAGCGCTTTGTTGAAAAATTCAACGTCACTCGAATACATCTGGCAAACTATTCGCCAACACTTTGGCTTCCAGGCTACCAGCGCACAATTTATCAATTTTTCTGACATACATCTTGCAGCGGATGAGCGCCCTGAGGATCTGTAACAACGCCTTAAGGCTTTTGTGGAAGATTCCTTACTATACGCTAACGGTTTAACTCACCATGGTGAACATGTTCCACACGTTCTTACTTGTTTGCGACTCATTCACCCCAGTCTCCCTCGTTAGTCAAGCAACGCTACGGAACGGAGTTGAGATCTCGCACCGTCGCCTCAATTAAACCCGAGATCTCTCAGGCACTTAATTCTCTCCTCCAGGAAATAGGCGCTTCAGATGACGCTAAGATTTTACGTGCAACGGTAGCTGATGATTTTCGTCGCTCCCGTCCGGGTGGCAGGAGTGACCCTCAGACCCGCACCAGACAGCCCCGTCAGGACAAGGTCTGTCCCTTATGCGAGTAAGCCGGTCGCTCTAACACAAACCACTTCGTCAGTCAGTGTACCTTCCTCCCTGACAATGACAGGCGCTTTATGGTAAAGCGAGACAGATCGTCAGCATCCTAGACGACGAACAAGACACCAACTACGACCTTGATCATGATCCACCCTGTCCTGAAAGCACTTTGCCTACCCCTGACGTAGTTTGCCTACCGTGTCGAGACCCGTCAATCTCCTTATATGGATGTCTTTCATGGTCACCGTGATGTACGTGTCACCATTGACAGCATAGCAACTGGAAATATGATCCGTCACTGACGCGAAACACCTTGGATGTCCAATTATATCAAGTGCTCAGTCCGTCCAGCAGTCAGATGGCTCTTCTCAGCTTCAGGTGGTCGAAGAGATACGAAGAACCTTCCCCCCTGACATCACAGACTTTACATTCGAGAGACTTGTTGAAGAGGATCTTGATGTCGAAGTGCTTGCCGGGACCCCTTTTACGGAGGCAAACGACATTGCCGTGCGGCCCGCCAAGAGAGAGGTGCTACTTGGCAATGGCTCTATCTACACATACGGGTCCAAGGCCCCACCCAGTCCCCTCACAACCGTTCGCAGAGCCTTTGTATTCCGTGCTTCTAATCCTTCCAAAGACTGTTTGGCCTTGAGAATTCCTGGAAGTACAGCTCCCAGACGACGCTCCCCCTGATTCAGAGTATGCACTTGAGCCCCGTACTGATGCACCTACTTTACGAAATCTCAAGCCCTCCCAGCTGTGGCCACAATCCAGTGTCGTTTCCAGTGTTGTGCGGGGAATACGCATACCAAACCTGTCAACCGAGCATCTAACGCTTAAGCATCACGAACACTTCTGCCAGGTCACCCCTGTCTTCGAACCAAAAGAAGAGCCTCCGACAAGTCCGTCTCCTACTCAGCGTCTGTTACCACGCTCCCATGCCAGTCTCTTCCTATCCGTCCATGTAGACCCAGACAGCATTCTACCTGAGGCTGTCAGAGCTAACTTCCAATCTGGATCCGCAGGCTCTTACGAAGCAAAGGTCAACATGGGCCCTGTCGAGCCCCCACAGCAGAAAGGCCGCCTCCCCCAATAAGCCCACGATAAGCTTGTGGAACTCCAAGAGAGGTTTGACCACCTAGAGCAGCTTGCTGCCTTCCAACGCCCTGAAGCTGGTAGTATCACTGTAGAATATGTGAACCCTTCTTTCCTTGCAAAGAAGCCCAGCGGCGGGTCTCGTCTTGTCACTGCCCTTGCTGACGTAGGCAGGTACAGTAAACCCCAACCATCCTTGTTGCCTGACGTTGACTCCACCCTGGGTCGCATCGCCCAGTGGTCACTCATCGTCGTCACAGACCTGACAAGTGCCTTTTACCAAATACCTTTGGCTAAAGAGTCCATTCGTCACCGTTACAAACTAAGAAAACTTTACTTTAAGTCCAAGGATCCTAGCATAGGGATTGGGAGATATACAGACTTCAGCGTAATCTTACTTCATCATTAAGACGAAGGGAAATGACAAGTTGTCTCTGCCTGGCGTAAAATGTTTTGTTGTCGGTTGCCGTGATTTTCATCCCCAGTTTCCACGGTTTCTGCTAGGAATGGCTGGGACCATGGCTTTCCTTTTGGCGACTCAAGATGAAGAAACAAACTGGGTTGCATTTTGAGACCCTCGCTCCTACGGAAGCTGGAGTAAATACCTAAGGTACTTATATGCTTCAACTGTGTTTCAGCATGAGTTCTATACAAGGCACCGATTTGTTCCCTTAAGTTATTACAGTACAGTATTACTTCCTGTCTTAATTCTTTAAGTCATTTGGCAGCGTAAGACGCACTACCAAACCATTGCCGAACCACTGTACCCTGAATTTGCTTCCTTTTCGCCGTCTGATTGTGTCCCACATTATAATCCATTAACTTCAGTGATGATCTGTAGCATAACTCACCCAAGGTTTTCATCCATTTCGTCCTCCCTGGCATCTCCTGTTATCCTAGAAATAATTTAATAACCGAAAACAGAGATTTACGGCTTACGTCATTAATTGGTTTTATAAATAGAAATGCGCGATAATAAAATGACAATAAAGTGATGATAAAATCTCGTAATTAACTACCAATAAGGGAGTTCGCCTCTATTTTTACACAAAGCGTAAGACTTCCTACCAACTTCGTAAACTCTTTCAAATCAGCTAGTCTCCAGTGCTTCTCAGTTGCCGGCTCTTATTGTCGACATCCTACATTTGTATATACTAAAACAGTGAAGACTGTTTTCCGCGCGCTCTGATTGGCTACTCAAAGTCGGGATATCCATTGCTATTCACTGATTCACCTCCAGCTCCTTCGAGTGAGCGACGCCAAACTCGCGAACAAGGTGACGACATTCAGATTGGAAGCTTTAACAGGTAAAGCTTTGTCAGTTCTATTTGAATTTATCGATGAAACCAGTGAAAAAGATTTTTGTATTTTATATTTTACATGTTCAAAAATGAGATTAAAACTTAATTTAATAGCTTTTTACAGAATGGTTTCAAATACAAACATAATTCATAACTCCTTTTGAAGAAAATTCTCTACAATAGCGCAAAAAGAACCTTCCAGCCGCAAACTGATCTAAATTCCTGTATATTTTCTATAGGCATCATTTAAACTTCGAAACCAAAATGAGATTTCTGTGTAAAGAGCAAAAGTTGGTCTTATGAAGACGGGGGTTATTTTTTTGGTTCCTGTGCGAACGTGTCTCGTGCAGTTACGATGCGATGGCAGCGAAATCACCACTATTTTAAATGAATTCAATCCAGTTTAGAGGGAAAGAAAGATTTAATTTGTCGTCTCTTTTTTACGGCCTCATAAAAAAAAAATCCCATCAGGAAGTTTTATGCCTTAAAGTACGGAAAAACGGGCAACAACAAACGTGCAACTTGTTTTGCAACATTGCTGCAAAACGAGTTGAAAAGCAGTGTTGCGCGTTATACGACCCACGTAAAACCTGTCTTGCAACAGATCAGGTTGTTAACAGGTTTGAACATGGGTGGTAAAACGTGCAACATCTCTTTTCAACTCGGTTTGCAGCAGTGTTGCAAAACACGTTGCACGTTTTTTGTTACCCGTTTTCCCGTACCTTTAGTCGTGCTGCAACGGCAAAGAGATCCGACCAAAAAGCGTGCTCCATCACGCACGTACAGTCCGTGCAGAGTATTGCTTTGCTTGTTAAAAACCATTGATTTAATTTTTTGACTCTGCTAAAGCTCCCTAATGAATCCAATCATACGAATTTAAGCTTCCTTTTTATGGCCTTCTATATCCTTACTTAAATTAATAAATTGCAGTTCTACATGTGCTGGGAAAGTCTTGAGCAATATGTTTAACTTGAACGCTGCATGCGATTTTTTCTATTTTCTCCGGCCACTCACACATTGAAAGTGCTTTATTACTTAAAATTATGTGACTCAAAGTTGAAAGATCCTCACTTCAATTCAGGAATCTTAATTTACTAAGAACTAAACGAAACGAAACTGAACTTTCTGAGGATCTCCCTTTTCAAACACTATTTGGCGAGTTTACTTATCGTCCGGTGGCCAGACCAAGGACCTAGTAAGCAAAACTTACTTTGGACTATTAATACAAATTTGGTGTTAAAATTCAACCTGTCGACCAACCTTTTTGCAACTCGAAAGAACATTTCTTGCACGCATGTACACCAAAACTTAACTTTCTCAGCGCACTTAATCGCATATGCGAGAAACAAGTTGCCGGCTCAGTGGTAGATCTCGCCAGACAAATTGAAAACTCATCCGATGCCACAGTAATTATATCTGAGCTCGTGCAAAGAAGAGACGGATTCAATGAAGCCGTGAAAACAGTTAATAAACAACTGAAGTTCTACTGCCGGCAGAATGGATGGAAATTTATCCAGCATCAAAACATCTCCGAAAAGGAACTTAACAAGGGCGGACTACATCTTAATTTTAAAGGTAATCAACAGTTTTTTAAGAACTTTCAGATGAGTTTAGGTTGAAATGATGCGCTATCCACCGATGCCGTGCCTATTCAATGTACAAAACGCAATACTGAGGAATCTCATGAGCCTACCTCAGTGTTGCCATCTCAACGAGGTTTTAAATTAGCCTCTTTAAATATCAATAAATTAATCACACACATAGATCAACTTAGAATTCTTCTAGCGCATAACGAAATAGATATTTTATCGATTAATGAAACTAAGCTCAATGAAACTATTAGCGACAATGAGGTCAACATCTCTGGCTATGATATAATTCGACGTGATAGAATTACAAACGGTGGAGGAGGAGCGTGTTTCTATGTGAAAAGTTCAATAAATTTTACCATACGAAATGATTTAAACATGGACACTCTGGAAATTCAAAAACCTAGATCTAAACCGTTTGTTCTTGCCACGTGGTATAGACCACCTGATTCTCCTATTGGTATTTTTTCACCTTTCGAAACTTTAATTGGGAAACTCGATTCCGAAAATATTGAATATTTTCTAATGGGAGACCTTAACTGCGACATGATTGCTACTCGATATGACAATAATACATGCAAATTAATGAGTATCACTGATATTTATGGTCTACAGCAACTTATCACTGAACCAACCAGAATGACTCCGACTTCTGCAACTTTGATTGATGTAATCTATACTAATTGTCCAGATAAAGTTGTGTGTTCGGGGGTTCGTCATATCAGTATTAGCGATCATAGCATAGTTTTTGCCTATCGAAAATTATCCGTGAATGGAATGTCTGGTGGGCACAATGCTTTAACCTACAGAAACTTTCGAAAATTTAATCGAATAAATTTTGGGAATGATATTGCATCTCATTGTTGGGATCACATATACAATTCAACTGATCCCAATCAAATGTGGCTACAATGGAAATGCTCGTTTCTATCTATTGTTAACAAGCATGCTCCCTTGAGGACAATGCGTGTTCGCACGCGTAGTTCCCCATGGATTACATCTGAGCTCAAGAAACGAATGCATGATCGGGATATTCTAAAGATTAAAGCAAGTAAATCGAATGATTCAAATGACTGGTCACTTTTTAAAAAACAACGCAATATAGTAAATAGCGAAATCACATTAGCAAAGCAAGCCTATTATCAAAATAGTTTTAACAAGCATACGCGCGATTCTAAAAAGACCTGGCAGACTATCAATGAACTTACTTCGCGAAAATCTGGGAAAAAATCGGTGACATCTCTGAAAGTAAATGGAGTATCAATAACAAATCCAACTGTGCTGTCGAACCAATTTAATAATCACTTTGCTACTATCGGTCCAGAACTTGCTAGCAATATTGATTCCTCAAATAGTAATGGTTATCAAAAGTACCTCACTGGCACAGATAAACGGTTTCAGCTCCATCCGACCAGTACAAATAAAGTTCTCTCACTTTTGAATCGTCTAAATAGGTCAAAGGCAGCTGGCCTTGACAAGATATTTGCCAGGCTCATTCGGGAATGTGCAGATCTCATTTGCATTCCTATCCGTGATATTTTTAACCAGTCAATAAGTCAAGGCATATTTCCGGATGACTGGAAATGCGCAAAGGTCACCCCACTTTTTAAACAAGGCGATCGGGACGACTTAAACAATTATCGTCCAATTTCGGTGATCTCAGTTATGGCCAAGGTCTTTGAAAGAATCGTCTATGATCAATTATATGCCTACCTAGAAGAGCACAATATAATCTGTAAATATCAATCAGGCTTTCGCGCTATTCACTCAACTGTCACGGCTCTCCTTGAGGCCACGGACACTTGGGCGTACAATATTGACCGCGGTAAAATCAACGCCGTTGTTTTCTTAGATCTCAAAAAGGCCTTCGACACAGTTGACCGTGAGATCCTTTTATCAAAATTAAGCAATTACGGCATATATGGTAACGCGCACCAATGGTTTAAGTCGTATTTAGAGAATCGTACTCAAATGTGCTCCATCAACGGAACGCTCTCTCAAAGCTGTTTATTAAGTTGTGGTGTTCCCCAGGGGACGATTTTAGGTCCATTATTATTTCTGTTATACATCAACGATCTTCCAAACTGTCTTTCAAATTGTGAGCCGAGGATGTACGCTGATGACACCCACCTTACGTACGCAGGTGATAATGCAGACAATATTCAGTTGCATCTAAATCAAGATTTAGAAAATGTTCACACTTGGCTGAGAGCAAACAAACTTACTCTAAATATGACTAAAACCGAATTTATGCTTATCGGATCTAGGTAGAGGCTAAGTACTCTCACAGAGTCCCCGACATTTGCAATTAATGATTTTGAAGTTAGCCAGGTCACTACTGCAAAATCACTTGGAGTGACCATCGATGACAGACTTGATTGGAGTGGCCATATCGAGAAAGTAACAAAGAAAGTCGCTTCTGGTATTGGGGCCATAAAACGAATAAGGCACCTTGTCCCTCAGGCGACCTTACAACTAATATATCAAGCTTTACTACAGCCACACTTTGATTATTGCAACATTGTTTGGGGAAACTGTGGGATAACCTTACGGAATAAGGTTCAAAAGCTACAAAACAGAGCAGCCCGTGTTTTGACCTACTCAAGCTATGACGTAGATGCTGGTCACCTTTTCAAACTTCTAGGGTGGAAAAACCTAGCTTGCCAGCAACAATTTCAAAGAGCTACGATGGTTTACAGGTCTCTGCACGGGTTGGCTCCAAACTATCTTAGTTCTAAATTTGAAAGGCGAGAAGTCGCATATAACCTAAGGGACTCTGAAAATAAACTCAATGTTCCATTACCGCGCACAAACTATTACAAAAACAGCTTCAGCTATAGTGGCGCCATTCTCTGGAACAGTCTTCCTTGTAACTTAAGGGAAGCAGAGTCCCTTGGGCAATTTAAACGATTACTCAAAGAACTGTAAGGCACGGCATTCGTGGAAAGCAGCTTTTTTATTTAAATATTTTTATTATATTAGTATTAGGCATTTTTAAAGCTGACGAATTTTGTACCGTGGATAAATAAAGATTATCTATCTATCTATCTATCTAAATTCAAAATATATCCACGTAATTTAAGGCGCCATAAAAAAGACACAAATAACAGAACAAACTTCACCTATGTTTGCGTTAACTTGATTTTTCGGCCCTTCGCTTGCATCAGGAAAACCTCAAATTGAGCTTAAGAAGGTAAACAAATCAATAAACACTGAAAAAGTTTCGTTTGTATTGTAAACTAATGTTTTCGAAAAATTGTATCGCAAAGTACAACCGGCCGGACCTAGGGCTGGCCGGACCAAGGACCACATACTGTACTCACTAACATGTCCAAATTCTAATACTCAACTGAGTTCTAGACTAGGGAATCAGAGAAGCAAAGGACGTTTTATATTAGGTACAAATAACACATCAGCATATGGCTGATTGGTCGTGCCGCGAGAGAAATTTGCCCCAACCAATAAGGAGCACTAGCCGGATCGTTCGCACCTTTTATACGTGCTTGTATCGCCTTCGATTCGCTTCCTCGAGTTTTTCTCGGAAATTGAATAGAATTGTTTAGTATACCTCATTAACTGATAATATTGTAGACAGCTTACAAAACAACAGTAGAGAAAGGGAGAAAGGGAGAAAAAAAAAAAAAAAAAAACAAGCCTGAGTTGTACTTTTCAATGGGAGCTATTTTGTCTTCTGTTCAGTTTATTCAAACCGGCCATTTCACTCAAATTCATTCATTTTTTGTTGGCATTATCACTGAAAAATATTGTAGACAGCTTACAACACAACAGTAGAGAAAAGGAAAAAAACAAATAAGCTTGAGTTGTACTTTTAATGGGAGCTATTTCGTCTTCTGTTTACCTTATTCGAACTGGCCATTTCACTCAAATTTATTCATTTTTCGCTAGCGTTATCACTGAAAAATATTGAAGTCAGCTTACAAAGCAACAGTGGAGAAAGGGAAAAAAATAAACAAGATTGAGTTGTAGTTTTAATAGGAGCTATTTTGCCTTCTGTTTAGCTTATTCAAACCGGCCATTTCACTCAAATTCATTCATTTTCCGCTGGCCATTGTAGACTAGGCACAAAAAGTTCAAATTACCATAAATGACCTAATAAACGTCCACTTCCAAATAAACGCCTCTTATCTAATAAACACCCCCTCTACGCTGTTAAAATTGTATTACATGCCCCTCAGTAATAAACGCCCCCTAATTGAGAATTACTCAAAATTTCTAGGAATTAGAAGGCTTTACGGATTTCATCTTGCTTATTGTCAAGTTCAAAGTAAGGATAGCCTAAAGATGGCAACACAATAACCCTGAGCGAAGATTCTGACATCGATGTTGGGATTTGAAAGAGCAATATGGATCATTAGACGGCCTAGACATATCAATTGATGGAGTGGATATTCCACTATTTTTAAACTCTCTTGATATTTTTTCCCGAAAGCATTAGTTTTTTTGAGCTTCTTACAGTTATAAGAAGAAACGCCTCTCTCTTTAAACGCCTTCTCTCTATTAAACACCCTCGCTTACACCCCTGAAATTAAATAGACGCCCCGGGTGTTTATTTATAGGTCATTTACGGTATCTGTAATTTTGTATTGCTGCGCGATACCCTTACCCTCATTGTACTTTTTACTAACAGTCCCGAAAGTCGATATCGTTTTCTGTAGGTCATTTCACGCTTTGTATGATACTAATACACACTCCTTGTTTGTGTATTTGAAATGTTACTCGTTCCATTTTTCATACGTCAACAAGCTTCTGCGTAAATAGTGTACGCGCACAATTTCCATGGAGTATTCTGTATGAATTTGATTATTCTCTTGAATAACACTTACTTTTGAACGTAGCCTGTCTTGGGTGTTTCTCCACGATTTCCATCTTGCTGATAACGCACACCTGGACAACGAAGAAATTTGTTGATTTAATGAATTAGCAAACCAAAACTGACTGTAGGTCTGTGCTGGGAAATTTTTCGGACCAAAACTGATCACTTTAATGGTGTTTTTGAAGAAGAGTTTACTGTATGGGTAGTGCTGTGCCAATCATCAATTATAATCGATAAAAAATGTTCAATATTGATAACCGCGGGAAAAATAAAATTTTGGATGGCAAATAAAATTTATCAGTCCGGAATATCCCTAAATTTAAGGACAGGGCCAACTGGTCACGCGACACTTTTCAACCAATGAGAAGGCGCGCTTGTGTTTATCAAAACACAAATCAAAACATCGCCCCAGTGATCAAAAATTTTCACAACAGCGGACGGAGTCGGACATGACCAAGGCGCCCTGGACATGAGCTTACAGTACTAGTCTAGGTTTCACATTAAATATTTCAAAGAAAACATTTCATGTAAGAGAATAAGAGCATTATTAATTGCAAGGAGTCATTGGGGTGTTCCCACTGATTCCGGACGGATAGCAGAGGTCGTGGCTTCACTGGCATGGCTTGAAAGATTTTTCATAGAAGCAAACTGGTCCCATGTAAAAATAGCAACATGAATTATTACATGAAAAATAGACTGTTCACAGTGCCCTATTTCTCCATAAGACCGATGAGATCGAAGACTTGGCGTGAACGGCTGCCATCTTAGAGGAGTGTCAAATCTACTTAGGGGGCGGAGAACGGTTAACCAAGATGGCCGTAATTAACGGTAAGACGCACTATATCTCGACGATATCACGGATAAATAAGGTACTGTGAACATTCTACACGAGAAAGAAAAACACACAATACAAAAACAAGTATGAAAACACCTACTCTTCCAAACAAACTAAAAGAAGAACAATGGTAATGATGCCTATCGCAACGGTTAAGAAACCACGGTAACTGCGTTTTGCTTCCCCTTGTTGACAATCTATCGCTTCGTCTACACGCAACGCACACAACCGCACCTCTTTCAAATCACTCTTGCTGCAGTCATCTCCTGTTACCGAAATCTATACACATTCTGTCCCCCAAATTTTCTCCAAGTAACTTGTGTTACCTTGACTTTCTAAAACCTGATTTCGTCAATTTGAGCATAATGTCTTTGACTGTCTCAATAATTTCCTTTCATTAATCTTGAGTCTGCGGACCAGCCCATTCCAAAAACGCCTTACTTCTTTTTTTGGTGTGGGCCTACCACGAACAGTTTGTGTATTTGTATGTGAAGTAGCCACAGAGAAAAGAGCAAAAAAAGGAAGTGCAATTGAGATCTCGTCGGATATTTATGACAAAAATTATAATCGAATTGGGTTACAATCACGCGATCATGATGCACCTAGCAGACTTCGGTGAAGAAGTTAAGACATCTGCTGCACAAAAGCAGAAAAGTAAGAGTATTTGTATGGCAGGGTATCCTGAAAATATCATTTCTTACTATTCGTTAAAAGCATTTTAACACATTTCTTTTTAGAAAAGCTTGTAGTTGATTAGAATAGCTCTGAGTGTATTAAATTTTAGACTTTCTTTGTTTAGTTTTTAGATCAGCAGGGAATTTTAAGAAATTTATTATTAGTTTTTTAATTACAACTTAACGTAAAGCTCTTTTGAATATTTTATAGTCCTATAGTGCTATACAAATTCTTTAAAATTAAATCAAATTAAATTCAATTAATTAAATTCCTCCGCATTCACAATTAACGCACAACCACGACGTTAAAGTGTACGCTCCCATAGCGTCTTGCTCAAATCTCAAACTTCCTTGGGTCACAGTGGCGCAATCGGTTAATCCCTCAACTTTGGGTCTCATCTGATCTGACGAGTTACACGTGCGCCGGTTCAAACCCTGGGCAAGTTAAAATAATAATTCTTTCTTCCAAAAAAAAGACAAGGATAAATCAAAGAACTCGAAGTGATCTCGAGATATCCCGAACTAATTCGGCTCTCACTTCGTCAAATAGCCGATTAAGACCGAAGACCCAAGGACTTTGCCTGAAGGACTTTGCGTGCCCAATTTTGTCCCAAAAAAGCAACTTTGGGACATTCCTGAGCATCGCGAGTCCTTTACTTCGTGCACCGCCGAAGTAAATAGTTAGAAATCCATTGAATCAGCGATACAAAGCTACGATTAGGACTTCACCCCTTACGCATACAAACAGGAAAAAATGAAAATAAAGCCGCATCCATACCAGTAGACGAAAAGAAATGCTTAGTTTAAAAAGAAACTGTATAGAAGACAAAAAGCACTTCCTGATATATTGCAGCGAATATAACGATCTTAACGAGGATTTCCACTGTTTCATAATTTTACGTGCGTACCCACATAAATTTTACGCGTCAACGCGCTTAAATAAAATTGAGGTAATCCTTGAAAGTCACGCGTACACGAGAAAGTTACGGCGCGTTTCTTTACCAAAACCCGAATCCAGAAAATCCGAAAATCCAAAATCCGAATCCGAAAAATGGATATTCCGTTTTTTTAGTTAAATCCAAAACCGAATTATTAATCCAAATGATCCACAACGGAGGTGCATTCTTTGGATCGTATCCAAAACGGGATACTTTAGATACACGATCCGAAGAGTTTCTTTACTACGGATCCGAAAAGAAAGATTTTGTGGGTCGTTTGTATAGGAATGAATGAAAAATAACCTCTTGTTGATATATCGTTTCTTTTCTTAAAAAAAATCCTAATAATCCGGATTTTTTATCTGATCTTGAATTTTAGTAAAGAAACGCACCCTCGTGGCCCTTCATACATACTCTTTAAATTACGCACATACATTCTACGTGCGTTCGCACAGAAAAATTAGGCAACAAGGGAAATCAACCCTTAGAAAGGAACAACCTCGTTCCCAGGGTTCTCTCCTACCCTTCCTACGGAGCGAGAGAGAGAAAGAGACCCTGGAAAACGCTGGTCACGTGGTTCCAGAACAAAATCATTTCTGAGGGAGGAGTCCTTTGTCTCACATTTTTTTGTCTGGTTTATTCGCGGCGTAGTGATCGCAACAGCAAGATAAATTTGCTAACCCTACTACAACTATAACTGAAACTAAAGGAAATTTCTGCCTAAACAAAACTATCAGATAAACCAGTGAATTACCAGAGAAGGAATCAAAAACTAGCGTTGTCGCCGGTTTAACTGATGACACCAATCCTTAAAAATCTACGATCTTGAGTTATACACAACCTAGTTAATTTTTTGAAGGTAAAATCCCTGTATGTTGAACTTCTATATAAAAAGTTTCAATGTTTGTCTGACAGCGGCTGGTAATCGGGCCAAATGAACCTACACCATTTGCGGTCTTAGCGGTTCGGCGTGACAAAACCATGGCAGTTACATCGAGAGCAAGAAATTCAGTTAATACATTTACGATCAAAGTGATATTCTAGATCTAGTGACTTCACGGAAAGCTATAGCCTAAAATATCAGCATTTTCCACTCCCTCAAACTTTGTCATGATACGGCAAAAGAAAAGTCGTAAATAGATCAAAGGTAAAAATAATTATATACCAACGCGACATGTAAGACAACAGGAAATAGTATAAACAGAGACAAAACCGACAACATAGCCTTCCAAGCAAAAGGTTTTCTTGTTTATGGCCAATATAAAAACTTTATTTAAAAACACATGTGGCTCAGTGATTTCTAAAAATCCTCTAAAGCATACCTAAACATCCAGAAAATTAATAAGGAACAATAAACGGTTCGCAATTGTGCAAGCCATATCATACGGTATTTTTTCACAAAGAAGCTTACGGCTATCCTGGTAATTATAAACGACGAAAAAAAATGCAAAAACACAGAGCCTTGGCTGAAAATATTTTCTTTCAAGATTCTCTTTACCTCTTTCCATTTGAACAATAGCTAACAATCAGCCTGACTGTCCGAGCCGCGTATTCTCTCTTCCTGTTGCTTCGAGGCAGTTCGAGGTCGCGGGTGAGGACAGCAACGCTTGATACATTTTTTCGGCGCCTTGCATAATAGTAGTCTTGAAAACACATACAGATACTGTACATTTGTTTTCTAAAGTGGCCTCCACAACATATAAACGGCAATTCAAATCTAGTGCGTTTCGGTATGAATACTATTACCAGGATACTTAAATTATTTTTGACTACACAAACGGTGAATCCTCCGCGATTTCCGTTGCATGTGCCAAATGAAAGCATCGCTGATAAACATCCGATTAACATCCAGATAATCTGCAGGAAGTTACGCTTTCGCTGTCAAAGGACTTTGTTCATTATTTTCCGTGTTCAAGATCAGGTCAGGTACACAATGGCTGCACTGACCTGTCTATGCTCTGTAGAGACAAATCTCACACTTACCTGCCCCTCCCCCAAATCGTTTGTTTGTAATCTCCCAGATTCTGGGAGACACGTGACCAGCGTTTTCCAGGGTCTCTCTCTCTCGCTCTGAAGGGCGGGTAGGAGAGAACCCTGGGAACGAGGTCGGGAGAGGAACTTTATTTTCATTTTTTACAAAAAATGACGCACACTTGCCAACTTAACAGAACGTGATAGAATTATTCACTTAGATAAAGATATCTCTCAAATAATAGCAAAATATGTCCATCTAATGTTTCAAAAAAGGAAAGAGCTCCGGATTCAATAGTCTAGTTGTTTACTTAAATATTATCATAGTCGAGTGTATTTGCAAAGCTTTATACTAGCTTCATTGGTTTCCGAGAAAGCTTTCGATAGCATATGGCACTTTGGGATGATATATAAACTTGAAAAGTGTGGAATAAAAGGTAAATATAATCTGTTCAAGTTGGCCCTCATCACTATGATGTAATTAAAAATTAAAATGTTCAAAAGAGGCCTTCTACTGCTGTCCGTTTTAAAACATAGGTACGTGTAATGTGCATGAGCTATTTTGAATGCTTCAATGTAACTATACCAAGAATATACCCTTTTCGTCCTAAATATAGACTGTTTTTTTGTGTGCGAAATTGGCTATTTTTGTACATGAACATGAATAAAAACGCGAAATGCTATGCACAGCTGAGTAGATCCTCATGCTATAGACTCACTTGTCTTTCCTTCAGACATCTAATGTAAATTAATTAAACAAATTGTTCAAGTACAATGAATATCACCTCACCAAACGTTGCTTCGGACAAAGACTCGAAGGTTTCTTTAGAGTTTCCTAAGAAAATGTGGCTCATCGAATAACAAATAGTGAAGAAATATCACGATTTTTATCATGAAACAGTCTCTAATTCTGACGACCTAATTCCTCCAGCTTTAAAATATATTGCTTCTTAAAAGACAAGAGCTTTTACTTGAGGCATTGGTTACAAAACTAAATAGGTCTTCATACGTTTAAGTTACTATTATTACAGTGAACGTCAAAAATTAACCTTTCATTCCTAGACCTTTGAAAATACGTATTTTTTTTTAATACTTCACCTTCAAGCAGATGAAACATACTCATAAGTTATGAAATACATGCGTTGTAAACTGCCTGATGTATGCTGATGACCTGTTAGTGATAAGTACATGTAATTCTCCAAACGGGATTGCAAAAATCACTCATTAATTCATTAACACGTCCAAGAATGGAGGCTAAGAGTAAACACCAAAAAATCTAATATTATAATTTTCAGTGGTAATGGACAATACAAGAACACTCAGAAATTTAAAATAAGAAAATGAAACCTTACAAATTGTTGACAGCCAAACCTACCCAGGAATAGAAATGACATTCTGGTTGTGAGAAATCCTCTGCCAAAAGGCTACTAAAGTTGTCTCTACAATTAACCAATTGCTTTCAAACATGGATTGCACGGCGGTCGAAACAAACCACTCCCACCCTCTTGTAAACAATGACCAACTCTTTAAGGCGATTTTACCATTGTCTTGTTTTACACCACTGAAACCTGTAAATTTTCGTAAGTACCGACCCATAGTGACCTTAAATAACTGTTTATCTATGTGAAACGACTGTTTATTTCTAGTACAAGTCCTTGCATTCATACCATTGCTTACAGGCATGGTGAAAAGCGCTTTACAACGATTTTATGGAAAATGCGTAACCAAAATCATAGACCCCTGTCCAACCCTCTTATATTTTATGCCTGTCTCCATGCTACTAGTTGCCATCTTAAGCCCTTCTGAGCTCCCATAAAATCATGGGAAATCCTCGAACACATTGTGTGTCACAACTGCATACACTCCCGCAAAAACAAGTCCAGGAGAAAACCAGGGGAAAGATAACGGGAACAAGAAAATTTGATGGCCTTTCGAATTGCTTCCCAAGGCCAGTGGGAAGAGCTCTAACTTTGCGATATTTCAATGCATCTCTAGATTTTAGCGCTGTTTTCCTGCGAGCTCATTACCAAAGCCTCCTAAGTATCAAATGCAACTGGTAGAAAGAGGAAATAACCACGCAAAAGAGACACACAAATTAGAACCCACAAGACGGAAAAGGAAGAGCAATTTCAGGTACTGTGTACAGACTTCGTTGAAACTAAAACGACGCAATCTCCTGACTCGGAGTTCAGCGCAGCTGTTATGAGGCCAAAAAAATTGATTACACCAGAAAGGGTCAATTAATCAATCCATAAACCTGAGTCAATGTTTATAGTGATTTACTATATCATACTGAATTCGGTAGTGAAAATAAAGGCCGTTTATAAGGGGGAAAAAGGGATTTAGGCTGTTTATGCTCCGACCCGTTTTTATTATGTTAAGTAATAAAATTGTTACAAAAGGGGCTTACCAGGCTGACTTGAAACAACCCCATCATCATTACTCTTAAAGGCTCTCTTGTAGTTCTCTGTCTTTTCAAAATTTTTTCGCCTAAAAGTGCAGAACAAATGCCTTAGAATAGTCACTATATTTACTCATAAACTAAAGTCGTGATGTTTATGGCTGGGTTAACACCCTTGTTACCATCATTTTTCACACTACCAAAATACACCTTCTTTTAATACTTCCCAAATTTTGCATTACCATGGTTTTCAAATACTTCTGGGTATTACAGTCGTCCCAAGAGAAATTGAAGACAATGCGAACGCAAAATTTTGGGGAGTAAACAAGGTGTATTATCGGCTGGCAATATAAAAATGGTGAATACGCTCAGGTTATGGGTAGACGAGTGGAAGATGACTAACACATTGAAATTTAGATGGCAGCTTACAGGAGCTTTCCCACCTACAAATATATACTGGGAATGCAATAAAAGGAAAAAACCTTAACTTCTGAAATTATGCTTTTTAATCTTGGTTGATGCCTTGAACAACATGGGCTGACTCTCATTTTAGGCGATTAGTAAATTAGTTCAGGAGGACAGATAGAAATACTTCCAGTAATACTTAGTAAAATTTGCTGGTTTGAGGCCACCTGCCGTGGCCAGCTTAGACAGTCCACCTTTGGTCCATCCACTTTCCATTTGAAATATACTGTATATATAACTCGGGAAACATTGAGATTCTAGGGAAACAAAATTAACTGTTTCCCTCGAGACCAGTCATTAAGGGTTTATTACTAACTCTTACACCTCCAGTGGCCACATACAAGAACTATTCTAGGAAGCAGCCTCGTTCTGAGGGTGTCTGTTTATGAGAGCTTCCACCGTATGCATAATGTCATACACAAGGTAACCAGAAATGAAACAATGATTCATCAGCACTATACTGACAATACAATGTAAATACAAATGAAAGGCGTCAAAACTTAAGCTAAGTAATAAATTCTATGATAAGTGAATTTGCTCTGACCTGTGACCTGTACATTGTACCTGCTACTTAACGGAAGGTTTTGTTAGTTTTGGGTTCAAAATCAGATCCACTTTTAATAAGAAATTAATCACCTTCTCCAAGGACAGACACACAAACCACAGCACTTTTCAAGGCCTGTCAAATTCCTTTCTGCTTCTTTCATATCAACATTGATCTGATCCAAGTTTTCTTCCACCCTGTCTAACTGTTCACCTTGTTCATCCAGTGCCACCAACGTTTTGATTCCGACTTCCTGGCTCTGGTCAAAAACAGTGAAAGAGGAAAATCAACAAACAGTAGCCAGGAACAACAACAGAAAACAAGCAACCCAAGTTCTTGCTTGTTTTCTGCATACTTCTGTTGTTGCTGAATTCTGAATCTGAATTCTTTGTAAACCACACCTGTAGGGTGTTAAGTTTCCCATAGTTTTCCCGAAAACATCAGGCAATAATTCAAGAGAGGCAAAATGGCCAAGTGGTTGATGCATCAGAACCTCGCTCTCTCAGTTTCAGGTGCCAGTCCCACTTTGAAAGCCAGCTGGGTTTGTCCTTGGTCATCCCAAATTTATATTCTTGACATGATATTATTCTCAGTGGGTACGATTCTTTTAACGTAAGCATCTCAGATTATCTAAAAACTCATAGTGCATGCATGTAGAACCTTGAACCTGAGAACAATTATATACACGCACAAATGCACCAGTCTTTCAATTCAACTGTACTTACCTTAGTCTGGCCCCTTCTCATTTCAGTCTCTCATTTCTCTACAGTGACGTACCCTTGAGGAGGTTTGTCGGGCCTCAGGCTTACCTCATTACTGGTGTCTGCATCATATCCTTACTTGTTAGCCTGCAAATACAGCCATCTCTCCCGTATTCCTTGCCACTTCGAACATTTTGCAGGAGAGACGTCTACACCTCAACCACATGCCAAATTGATGATGTAAATCAATGTTTAAATAATTTACCTTGTAGTTGTGTGAGTCCAAATGTGAAATAAATTTGTTTGACTTTCTGTTTCTCCTGGTCTATTTTAATAATAAAAGTTTTGAGTTCTTCCATGAGCAAAACTTGAGCCGCAGCACAACTCAAATGCTCCTTTTCAAGAAAACTTATATTCCCCAAATATTAACTGTTTTGCAGTACAGTTTGTAGATTCATCGCATTTACATTTTGTGACCTTTTGTGTTTTGTCTGTCCTTGTTAAACAATAACTAAAAGAACATAATTACTGCAGCAACCAATCAGAACCACTGACCAGATTCTGGATAGATTTTACGTTATCAGAGTATGGTTCAACTTCTGTTGTTGAGGCGCAGGTGTTTCTCACAAAATTTCCTTAGTCTCAAGAAGCAACTAAAGACAGCTGTACTCACAGCCTACTTGTCTGTTTGCTTGTAAGAGAGTGAGGTTTCAGATGAACCTTGCCCTCTACAAGGAGTGGTCTTCACCTGGGGAAGGGGGGGGGGCGCTCCTTTATTTGGCTGAGATCGGTACAATGTATGTGCCGCTGTACAGGATATGGTTTCCTGCATCTTGAGTGTTGAACAGGGTGTCTTTTTGGACTAGAAGCCTTAAAAGGAGCATTAAATTTAACTTGAGTGCCCCTCCTGGGGGTCCACACCTCAATAGGAATGAAGTCTCCATACCAGCTGTACATGTAAATGAGCAAGAGCCCAGTTCAGACGTCGAACGATTCACGAGCCCAACCTAATGCATCAAATTAAGTACAAGAAAAGTTCGGCATCTGAATCAATTACGAACACCTGTTTTAATTTGGAACGGCTCAGCCGTTCTTTTCGCCTAGCCTGGCCGATAATTTTGCCTTTAGAGCGACTTTGTGAACTTTTCATGTAATGCATAAATTGTTATAACATGTTTTGTAAGCAGTTTGACCGAAATGAGCATTTTTCGCCTTTTGAACTTAGTTCAGCTGCAGTTAAGATCGGCGTCTGAATCAATTCGGCCGGTCTAAAAAATTTGGTCGGCCTTTATTCGAATAAGGTTTGGCTCATGAAAAGTTCGGCATCTGAACCGGGCTTAACTCTTACCTCTTCTGCCAATTGTAACATACGCCGCGTACTTTCCAGGGACTGTCAAGAGGACAAAAAAGGAAAGAATGGTTTAATACAGAAGATACACTGTAAATTCCCTGATAAAATCAGGGGTTTCAATAAAAATTGAATATGATATAGGCTGAGTAACTGACTCTGTTAACAAGAGGGCTGTTAGTCCCCTCCTTCTAGCAGGTCTGGGGGTATAATCGATCCGCAAGACAATCTGGTAACTTCAAAGTCCCTAGATGTGACTTTTAAAATTCTGATAAAGGAATATTTCTCATCAATAGCAGGGAGTATTTTTGTACTTTTTAAATGAAGTTAAATAAAATTTAACAACAAGGAGTAGTGCCTTCTGTTGTTGTCAGTCAGTGGTCATCCTTTCTTTCGTCAGCTATGGCTGTTTGTGTGTTTGCATAGAGCTGAACTAGCATTTGGTATTTTATTGGCAGGTGGTTTTGTTCGTCAAGCCTAGTGATTTAATTCTCTGCTCAGGCTAAAAGTATTGATACATCATTGCGTTTTGAAACTGTGTGTGAAAGTTTAGATTGCAACTGAAGAAAATTAGCAAAGGAGTGTTTTACTAGCCCTACATGGCCAGTTTGGGTCCTTTCTCTTCTTATTCTGGGCTATTCAGAGGGCACTTGCATTCAATTTTGCAGCTTTGGTGATCCTGAATACCACAATAAATTGATGATGTCCACACATTCTGTGCTATGGTGACCATCCAATTAGATGCAAGTGTAAAGTCATGGAAATGTCCAGCTATCACAGTTATCTACAAAGATGTGTGGCCAATTTTCTTTTTAACTTGTGAAACTATTCACAAGTTTTATAGTGAGCACTCAATGTTTTTAATGCAATCTTTACTAAAACAGGTACTTACAGTGCTCATAGTACAGTAGACAATATCATGAAAAGTGCTTACAAGTTGAACTACATGTAAAAACATTGAAACGCTAGCTGTTATACAATGTGCACTGCTCTTGAAGAAATTCATCAGGCTAGTGAAGTTAATATCGATTTAAATGTTCTCAAAACATAGCCAGTCTTTAAAGTCTTAATGATGCTGACAGTTTCGATGACTGTCAGCCATCTTTATCAAAACTTGGAAAACAGTGTCAGAGGCCTTAAATAGCCATAACAGACCACGTCTGTCAAAACAATCAAATTATGAATTGGGAAGCAAGTGAAATAGTTGCGCAGGAAAGCGACAAGTTTAAGCGATGGATCAAGGAAAGCATATGTATTAGATCGAACACTCCTACTACGAACAGGGACGAGGAGCCTATCAGCTTTCTCCCATATGGACACAAGTGATCTCCACCCCCAAACCAGGGGGGAGGGGTGTCTACAGAGTGACTTTGCGCGTTTATCGCAATGATTAACACCTTCAGAAGCCTATTTAAGGTTTCTGACACTTTTAATATTTTCCAAATTTTGATAAAGATGGCTGACAGTCATCGAAACTGTCAGCATCATTAAGACGTTAAGACTGGCTATGTTTTGAGAACATTTAAATCAATGTGCATTGCTTCATACATTTACACGAAAAAACGATGAAACTTTGGAAAAATGAAGGAAAAGTTCTTATGGCAATTAAGGTAATTCCCTTGAAATTGTTCTACTATCAAACTTTTTTTGAAACTTGGCATAATCAACATTCATGATATGGATATTAAAAAAATGCAATAAAAAGATGGGGTCACCGGGCTTGTTTACGCGTCAGCAGGCTCTTAAACGGGGGTATTTTTACTGGTTGCGCGTTTAAAATTCGAATCCCCTTCTTACAGAACGAAGTAGTTGTTACTTGAAACACACAAAATTTTATCTTGAACATAAAACTTCTTTTATTCAAATAAGCAGTATTGTTTCATTTAATTCGTTTTCGATTGCCTGGTTGTGGGGATATTGCGCTTTTTCGGACAGTTCCCTGGTTAGCTTGAAGTCCTCGCCTTGACCCAAATACATCAAATACGAAACTACTTTCCCCAAAAAATCATGTTCTACTATCAAACTTTTCTTCTTCTTCAAATATGTTGTTTATTAGACTGTTCGTAGCAAATGCCTGGGAAAAAAATCGGGGGTCACCGTGCTTGTTTCCTCACAAACTGCTGTGAAAGGTGGACATGGTTTTGAGATCGAAGTCAGTATGGATAATTTGCGCGGCGGGGACTGGGGCAAGAAACAAAATAACGCCTATCGTGTTCGAAGTATGCACTCGAGATCAAGCTTGTTTTCGGTTGTTTTTATGTGTTTGATATCGCCAACACAGAAATTCAAACTTGAAAAGATTACATTAAATACCGAGGAATGAGGTAAGTCAAGATTTGATGAGATTTTGGAGTTATGAATCTTTATTTTAGACCATTTTGTAGCGCCGGCGTTCTGTTTAATTCCAGTGAGCTAGGTTTCGATTTTTTTGCTTTTGCACAATAATGCTTGACAAAGAAACTTGAATAAAGGACTGTTCATTCCTATTCTTCATATGTTCGCTTGTTTGGTTTCTATACACAGCAAAATGTGAATTCAGCAGCAGACCTCGTGTTTACTGGTCTCCCTCGAGTGGTTCTGGTACTACGGTGTATCTTATATGTTCCAGAAATATTTGACTCTCCACTCTCGGAGTTTAAACGACATATGTACAGTAGTGATCCCAGGCCAGATACTGGCTCGTTAATGCAGTTGGAGAGCCGTAGAGCTGTCCCACAGCCTTCACAGCCTCCATAATCCAAAGCCTCAGCCAGTACTTTTTAATAATTCCACAACTCGACGGCCGCGGAGTGAAAAACCACTGCAGACTTTGGGATCACGCACATTTCTTTCATTTTCTTGTTTTTAGTTAGCAAACCAGGAAGCTGTCGGCCGATCTGCGACATTATTACTGCGAATAAAAGCTTTAGCTCTGCAAAAGCGGCCCTTGTTTGTTCTTTTCGAGCTACTGAGAAGAACCGCCGCCATCTTGGATGTGGCTATGTTATGCGCAGTAGAGGGTGCGCAGTGCAAAACAAGGGAATTACCTTAACCTTTATTTGAGTAGGCAGTGACCGGAAGGTTTGTACGGTCTGTGCCGAGGACTTAAAAGCGAAGAGAAAAAAACTCCCTTTGTTTAAAGTTATCTCTTAAATTAGTTATAGTCCCCCGACATTAGTTCTAAGGATGCCATTGTCAAGGCTATGTCGATGTGCTGTTTTGTATAGCCCTTTCTTCATGCCTTGGTGATACAGCCAAAGGTTTAAAACAAGAAAAAAGTTATTTTTCTGACAGCCTACTTGTAGTTTTACAGCAAGGAGCCCGTAAGTGTGACCTCCTGTAATTAACTCACACTCTTTCACGCAGAGATTAACCAATCAGAAGTTGAGGGCAGTTTCCAGCTGGCATCTGATTGGATTAAATCTGTACAAAAGAATGTGAATCAATCAAAAGCGGTCACACTTTTGGGTTCTTTGCTTTAAACGAGTAAGAAAAAAAGATAACAATTTAATGGCAGTCAGGTGGTGGGGGTGATAATCAGAGCGAATTGGGCTTTCTGAGCAAAAACTATCGACAAAGAGACAGTAAAGCATAAACAAACATCACAGTCGCATGATCATTCTATAGCTCAAGAACCTTACTAGGAGTTGCTCTTTTGCCCAGATTAGGACCGAAAGAGGTGGGTGATCTGGTGAGCAGGACAGAGCCACCAGCCTTGTACAACTCAGCAGAGATTGTGTCCGATCCTGGGGCTTTCCTGGTGGACATTTGCTTGAGGGCTTTCCCTACTTCTTCAGTCGTATTCTAAAGAAAACTACAGGCCCATTACTGTCCTACCATGTGTGGACAAGGTTTCTGAGCAACTAGTAGGCGCGCAAATCACTGCTGGCTTTGACCGTCGCATGTATGAATATTCATCTACCTATCGAAAAGCTCACAGCTGTGAGACAACGTTGATTAACTTAAAAAAAGGTTGAGTTTGAGAAGGTTGAGGTTGAGACTGCTTGGTCACTCGCGACAACAACAAACTAAAAACGACTATTTACAGAAAACCGACACATACCAACCGATTACTAGACCAGTCTTCGTACAACCCGACCTCTCACAAGTCTACTACTATCCGGACTCTGACGAGACGAGCGCAACTAGTTTGTGACTCACCTGACAGCCTACAAGAAGAGACTGATTATCTTAACAACGTTTTTAGCAAGAACAATTACAACACGGACTTTGTTAGACGGAACACTCACAGTAACACTGATTCCAACTCTCAGACCAACTCTGGCCCTGTTACGACAGCGACTATACCGTACATCAGAGGCACCTCAGAAACTAATGCACGTATATTACAACCTTACAATATACGTGTTGAGCACAAACCGATAACCACTTTACGGCGATTGCTTACTAATGTCAAGGACAAAGACAAACCGGAGGACAGACGGGGAGCAGTATACAAGATCAAATGCTGCGAGTGCCAGGCTTCTTACATTGGTGAAACCGGCAGAAACCTAAGCACGCGACAGACCGAACACAAACGCGCGACGAGGAATGGTGATGTCAACAATCACATTGCTGAGCACCATTTAAAGACGAAACATCAAATTGACTGGGACTCTGCGACATGTATAACGTATTCTACAGACTACTATCAACGTCTTACTTTAGAAAGCTGGTTTACTATAAACTTAGAACAAACGCCACTGAATCGTAGCCAACAGTTACCAGCGCCGTACAAACGACTTATTGAGGAGATCAAGCAAAACTAACTACGAAAGAACAACTGGAGAACTGACAATTTGACTAACAATAGACGACTGTTTAACTGTGACAATAGACGGAGCGAAACGCACCAATCACTGATTACAAGTCTTCATAGCCAATAACATCACGGCTTAACTGACAGACGACCAATAACATCGCGACATAATTGACCAATCAGATCAATAACCAGAGTATAATACCATCAACTGACGTGATACAACTCACTTTGACTCTGAAGATGACTACCGCACAGGTTGTCGAAACGTCAGTCACTGTCAACAACAACAGTCCTATTCAGGACTACGTTCACCCGGACGATCAAACTCAACCTACTTTTGAAACGACTCCTGGGTTCAAACCTTTCACAGTTGATTAACTTAGTTGAAGAATGGAGACTAGCGAGGGATAATAAACTTGACGGACATGTCAAAGGCTTTCGACTCTTTGTATCCGCCACTGCTGCTCAGTAAGCTGAAAGCATATGGTTTTCAGGAAAGCGCAGTACAACGTTTACATAGCTATCTACATGACCAGAAATATCGTGTGAAATTAGGAAGTCATGTAAGCACATGTAGAATGGTCAGCCGTGGTTGTTGTCCCCAGGGCTCCTCCCTAGGTCAGTTGCTGTGGAATATCTTTCAGAACGATCTGTCTTACTCCGTAACGACGAACTTATCAATGTATGCAGACGACCACCAAATTTATCATATTGGATCTGATCAATCTAGTGTTTCATCCAAGCTCAAAGATGCTACCAAGTGGTATGACTCCAATCTTCTTGCTGGGAACCTCAAGAAATACCAAACTATAAACATTGGGTACAGCCAGGCAATCAAAAGTGCAGCACCTGCACTTCATGTGAACAATGAGGAAATAAAAAATGTACAGAATCTTAGACTCTTGGGTGTTACAATAGATTCCAAATTTACCTTTACTGATCACATTAGCGCTGTTTGTAGGAAAGCTGGTCAAAGAATCGGCGTGCTTATGCGACTTAGAAACTTGATTCCACCTGAGGCCAAGCTAAAGCTATTCAAATCAGCAGTTTTACAGTACCTTACGTATTGCCATTTAGTCTGGCATTTTTGTAGATGTAGTGATGGGCAAAAACTAGAAAGACTGCAAGAAAGGGGACTGAGGGTTGTATATAGAGACAAGCATGCAAGTTACCAACAACTTCTTGAGAGGGCAGAATTACCAACACTATTGAATAGGCACCTACAGGATATTTGCATCCTTATGTACAAAGTGAAGTACAATATAGGTCCAACTTATATCTGTAATCTTTTCAATAATCATAACTCTTCTTATTCTTTATGACATTTGGATTTCTCTGTTCCTAGATATAATACTGTACCATAATGGTAAACATTCTTTAAGGTATCTTGGGCCTAGGTTATGGCGAAAATTGCCTCCTAATTTAACATCAGCGAAAACTCTGAACCTCTTTAAAAGTAGAATTCGTAAAAATGATATAAGCTGTTCTCAGCACATCATAACCATTTAATTTTACGATTCTCTCTTAGTTATTTTAGATTTTTTACTTTTATATTTTATATTTTATATAGGTAATTCCAATTATTTGATTATAAATTGTGTCCCCAAATTAGTAAGGGGTTGTTCCCAAGAGATACGGCTCCGACACATTAATAAAGGTTTCTATTCTATTCTACTCTATTCGTTGGGGGAGAGTCAAGTTCCAGGTTCACCGGAACTTGTGAAAGGCGTTCAATGGCTGTGTAATTGATTGCAGAAGGGCGGTTCAGGACAGTGTCAAAATGTTCAGCTTATCTCTCCAGGATCTGTTTCTTTTCAGTGAACAGGGTAGTTCCATCAGGTCCAAGGACGGGGGACAACCCAGAGGATTGAGGTCCGTAGACAGC